CTCACTTGGTAGCCCAGGCTGGCCTCGAACTCACAGAGATCCGCCTGCCTCTGCCTCCCAAGTGCTGGGATTAAAGGCGTGCGCCACCACCGCCCGGCTTGATGTAAATTCTAAGTGACTTGATATTTTGAAAGTTTGTATTTATACAAAATGATGGCAACATAGCAGATATAATACATGCTAGCAAAGGTCTTTTTTGGGTTTTTGTTTGTTTGTTTGTATTTCTCTATGTGTAGCCCTGGCTGTCTGGGAACTCACTCTATAAACCAGGCTGGCCTCGAACTTAGAGATTCTTGAACTCAGAGTGCTGGGATTAAAGGATTAAAGGCATGAACCACCACTGCCCAAGGTATTCAGGCCTAAAAGGTTTAAGGTTTAAGAACCGTTCTATAGCAGCACTACTTGGATCTCCCCTCAGGGCAAACCGGTGAAACGTATTTGTTTGTTTGTTTTTCAAGACAAGGTTTCTCTGTGTAACTGTCCTGGCTGACCTGGAACTCATTTTGTAGACCAGGTTAGCCTTAAATTCACAGAGATCCACCTGCCTCTGCCGCCCAAGTGCTGGAATTAAAAAGGTGTGCCATACCACCACCACCACCCAGCCAAAACACATTTTTTTAAAAAGTTATTTATTTTCATTTCATGTGCACTCATGAAATGTGTGAAGGTGTCAGATCATCTGAAACTGGAGCTACAGACAGTTAAGAACTGCCATGTGGGTCTGCCATGTGGGTGCTGGGAATTGAACCCAGTCCTCTGGAAGAACAGCCAGTGCTTTTAACCTCTGAGCCATCTCTTCAGCCCCCTAAAACACCTTTTTAAAAAATAAATAAATAAATAATGCCTCAAGTACAAAGGGCAAAGACATCTTTTAGGCACATACAATACATTCAATAGTAGCATGTCTCTCCATACTGCATCCACTGGCTATCAAAGAAATGCAAATTCCCCAGAAGAGCATAGACCATTCCAGTCTCTTCAGACATTAGTGTCCCCATCTGAAAAAGCTGGATATCAGAATAGCTAATTCCCAGGTGGCTTGTGAGCACCCATAGTGATTCTAACCAGGCTGTCTCCGGTCTTAAAGCTGGCTGGCTGTCACAGTCTGAGACTTGCTCCTGAAGACATTTGACTAGATCTGAGCAACAGCTTCTTTACAGATTGGAAACTGGTTTTCTATCACAGCCCACCAAACTAGCCCCTGTAGACGTGTGCACTGGCAAGCTCTGGAATGAAATGCTTCTAAAACCCTCTTCAAATGTCAAACTCCCATACTTCAGATACGGTGCCCAGGAGTCGTACGCTGCCTCTTATTAGCTATCTGACTTTGAGCAGGCAAGTTGCTTGCCCTCCTGGCCTAGGTTCCCTTGTCTGTAAAACGAATGACGATCCCAAAAGGAATGCTGTGAAACGTGCCGTTGTCAGTAGTTGAAGAGGCCCTGGCTCCGAATAGTTAAGTACCGAGTTAACACGAGTTACCAACCACAAACACCAAAGCACATAAAGTATTCCCAAGTTTCCGTCCACTCCTGACGCCAGTAGCTGACATACTCCCAGAGGGCACGCTTACCTCCAACCAATTTCCACATGCCCAGTGCCCATCCCAGGACCCCCGCGATCCTCCTCAGTTCTCCCCAGCGCCAATCTCTTCCCTGTCCCCACTCCCGTGGTCTGAGAGGACTTCCTACAGGATCACTCCCCAGCCGCGGTCCCCATCCCACACCACCAGGCACCATCTTGGGCCGGAGGCCCTGCGGCCTGGCATTCTGCCCCGAGACGCCTCCGAGGGATGAGGGGACAGCCGCCCGACCTCCCGGCGGGGCCCACGGACACTAACCGTCCATCCCTAGAGGCGGCGGTTCCGGGAGCCCGAACCGGAAGCGGCCCTGACACTGTTTGCAGTTCCCCTGGTTACTACGAGGTTCCGGACCAATGGCGAAGAAGCTGCGTCCATTGAGCCCGCCTCCGGACCTCGTGACGTCACGACGGAGCGCTGGGACTTCCCCTCAGCGCTGGGCGACCGGCCCCCCTTCCCCAGGCGGCCCGATCGCTGTGCGCAGGCGCGCGAGGCCCGGACCTCGGCGGCGAGGTGCGCAGGCGCCCCGGGCGCTGCTAACTGAAGCGGCCATGGACGCCCTCGAGTCGTTGTTGGACGAGGTGGCCCTGGAGGGGCTCGACGGCCTGTGTCTGCCCGCGCTGTGGAGTCGCCTGGAGTCCCGCTCGCCTCCCTTTCCCCTGATACTGGAGCCCTACACGCAGGAGTTTCTGTGGCGGGCCCTAGCCACGCACCCGGGCATCAGTTTTTACGAGGAGCCGCGAGAGCGACCCGATCTGCAGCTCCAAGACCGGTCAGCCACCAGGGTGGGGTGGGGGCTGAGAGCCATGAGGAGACGGGGTGCAGCGGTGCAGAGCGCCTGCCCGGGACCGCGGGACGTGGGGGAGGGGCGCGGGGGGCGGGCTAACCTGGGCTCCCTGCGCCCTGGCAGGCCCAAGAGTGATGAGCTGGGGGAGGGGGCAACCACTGAGACCGAATTGTTTCCCAGTGTGTTCAGAGAGTCAGAGAGTTCCTTTAAGTTGGGTGGTCGAACCGGAGCAGGAAAGTGGTTGGAAAGTGGAACCAGGTGAGGATCTTTCCGGGACCTTTAGGGAGCGTTCGTTCGGAAAGCTAAGGCAAAGTAGAGGTCTGCACAGCACCAAACATAGCCGTGAACGAATAGCTGAGGCGTGTTGGGCTCTTGCCTTAAGTGGGTTCTGGTCCCAGACCCAGTTCTGGAAGCCACAGAACTCAGATCGGTACGGTGACCTGTAGGCAAGACGCTGTTGTCTTTTCGTTTTTCAGAGGAGGAAACTGACCCCAGAGAGGTTAAGGGATGGGCACAGGATTCAGGAGTTGCTAAGTGCACTTTTACCTTCTGTCCTTCTCCAGGAATAGATAATCCAGCCCCTTGCATGTTCTAAACAAGAGTTCTACCACTGAGAACACCTTTAGCCTCAGCCCACCCCTCTTCAATGTTAACATTAAGAAATTGGCTGGGCGGTGGTGGCGCACGCCTTTAATCCCAGCACTCTGGAGGCAGAGGCAGGCGGATCTCTGTGAGTTCGAGGCCAGCCTGGGCTACCAAGTGAGTCCCAGGAAAGGCGCAAAGCTACACAGAGAAACCCTGTCTCGGAAAAAAAAAAGAAAGAAAGAAATGGCTGACGATATAGTCCAGTCTGGCATCATACCCTCCTGCCTCTGCACCCTGGCACTTGGATTGCAGGCATGCCCCACCGTGCCTGGCAAGTCGGGACTCTTTATGCAGGTCAGAGGAGGTTCCCAGACAAGACTTAAAGGTTATGATTTAGGCAGCCACTTGGCAAAGAGTGAACAGACAACACCAAGTAGGACAGCCTAACAGAAGGGAGGCTCCGTGTGCCTGGAGTGTGAGCTGGGAAGAAGGGGGAGTAATAGTGCCACTTGCACGTGCTTATCGTGGGGTGTGACTGAGGTAGTCACAAGGTGCAGAAAGTTCTACAACACCCTCAAGAGGTGTGTATTGTGAAGAGGAAAGGAGGCTCCAGGGGGTTAAGTGGTCAGGGTCATCAACTAGTAAAAAAGATTTCAGAACTCGATCGAATCCAGGAAATCTGGGGCCAGGGTCCTCTCTGCCCTTAACCAGATTTGACTGAGAGGGAGCCTGTGATTATTTAATCCACTTGAAGAAGCCGTCCTTTACCATAAAGACAATAGAAAGTCACCCAGTAAGACTAGTGGCTGAGTGCAACTGAGAGTCCCAGCCATAGCCTCTCAGAGACTGGTTTGTCATGGTGGGGATGGGAATAAAGAGAACATGGGATCAAGACATACCAGGTAGCCAGGTATAGTGTGCCACATGCCTGTGATTCCAGCAGACTCGGGCAGGAGGATCTGAATTCAAGACCAGCTCTGGCTACATGGTGAGAACCCATGTAAAAAACATAAAAAGACATGTTTAGGAAGACAGTGTAGATATTTGGTGACTGGTGATGTGGAGTGTGGAAAGACGGAAATGGAGGTCCACGTACTCTGTGTCTGTTGCTGAGACACCTGAATGAACACTAATCCCCTTCGCTGAATGGTGGACACAGAAGAACAGTGTTGAGTCTGAGGGAGGTGCTAACTGTATTGTGAGTCTCCTTTGAGTCTAAGAGAAGACTGTTTAGTAAATAGAATCGGGTGGGTAAAGCAGCCAGAGGGAGGGACTAGGCTAGACCTTTGTGAGTCATTCCTTGCACTTGGTAATTAAGAGATCATCCCTAGGACTGTGTTGTGATTGGACACCTCCCTAAGCTACACCTACATTTCAAGGCTGGATGGAGGACACTGCCTTCAACCAAGATTATAAAGTGTGGGTGGAGGAGAAAACAGGCCACAGTATGCCCTGGAAGACCTGAAAATTGAGAGTTAAATAGGACAAAGTTTACAGAAAGGACAAGGGTTTTAAAAAAAAGTTTTAAAGTATATATGTGGCGCCTCAGCTGCGATAGAGAAGGGTGCCAGCCAGGTTCCAAAGGCAAACAATACCTTACCTTAGTTTACCAGCTTCAAGAATGCAACTTTAAGATGCTGGCTGATAAGAGGCAGCTGAGAGGGTGTACTAGGCTCCAGGGACTTGAGGGGAGGCAGGGAAACAGGCTTGGGTGGAATTAGAGCAACTATTGAAACCATAAAAATGGATAAGGGAACTGGAGAGATGACTAAAGGGAGAAAGCTGTCCGAGGAGGACAAACGGGGGCTGGGGGTGGTTCGGGGGTTGGGGGTGGTGCGGGGGTCAGGGGGCATTTAAAGACCAGGAACTAGATCTGGAGGGAAAGCAAATGCTCTGGCCAGGAGACTGGATCAGGTCTCCGGGGCTGGGTGGGTTGGGATCCTAGGAAGGTCTTGTTCTCTGTGACAGAGAGATAAGAACCTGGGCTAGAGGTGTAGCTCAGTTGGTTTGAGCCTTAGAACTGTACAAAGCAGGTATGGTGGAATTACACCTGTAATTCCAGCATGTTGGAGGGTGAAGCAGGAGGATCAGGACTTCGAGGTCATTCTTGGCTGTATATCCTTGCTTAGGATACATGAGTCCCTGTCTCAGAATGAAAGAAAGAAAAAACCTGCTTGTCAAGATTAGCGGCAGGCATGGTGGTGCCTGTGTGTAATCCTAGCACTCAGGAAGCTGAGGCAGAAGGATCAAAAATTCAAGGCCAGTTCAGGCTGCACGGTTGTATTGTCTCAAAAAGAAAAAGACTGTGCTTGTGAGCGATTCGACTGAGCATCTCTCATCTCTTCTTCCCTCTGGTCTCTGCAGGGAGTTGGTGGGAGATGCCAGGTGCATGTTATTGATGAAGCTTTGTTAGATCTTCATGTATGTGTTTTCCTCCCTAGATATGAAGAAATTGACTTGGAAACTGGAATTCTGGAGTCCAGAAGGGACCCGGTCACTTTGGAGGACGTCTACCCCATTCACATGATCTTAGAGAATAAGGATGGCATCCAGGGCTCCTGCCGATACTTTAAGGAGAGGAAGGACATTACCAGTCAGATCAGGACCAAGTGTTTGCAGCCTCGTTGTACGATGGTAGAGGCCTTCAGCAGGTAATTGACTCACATTCTCAGCCGTCCCTTGGTTCTGGGTGCTCTGCAATCAGATGCAGCATCTGGTACATCTTCTCAATGTCTGCCAGGGCTTCCTAGGCCTTCACACCTTCACACCGCCTGGCTTTTGAGTTCAGTGGTCCTGACTTCTGTCCTTTGTGTCCACAGCCCTAGAACAGTTGGAGCTGGGGGTAGCCAGCCTCTGCCCTGCACGCCCTGCCTTCCCTTTACGAGTTCTCAGTCACTATCCCATTCCTCCACAGCTGACCGGTCCAGACTGCCATTTTTCTGAAGTGCTCCACCCTGGTCCACCTCCTTCCTGTGTCCAGGTCAGGGAGAAGCTGCCTTTATGAACTCTGGGATCTTGCACACTGCCCTCTCCTCTTTATCTGAGGCCATAAGGTTGGTCTCTCCCTGGTTGCAGTATCCAAGGCTGCGGTCTAGATATGTTTTTCTCCTTCCCCTCCCGTAGGCCCAGCCTCCGTGCCTCTTCCTTTCTCCCACTTGTCTGTTTGCTCTTTCTCTGGATTTTTCACTTCTGCTCACATTCTGGGGCTTTTTCCTGAGCACACTGACAGGCTCACCTACCTGGTGACTACCACTTTTCTTCATCCATGGGGTCTGTCTTAGAGCGAGCTTTTTGGAAGAGACACGGGGTTCTCTGGGTATCCATCTTCCCCTCCCTCTTATGCCTCTGCTCCATGCAGATCTGGCTCTGGCCTAACACTGTCCCTCCCAAGGTCCTAACCAGCAAGTCCGTAACCCCTGAGGGGGAACTTTGGAGGTCCTAGAAGCTTTGGCCCCAGGGCTCCCTGCAGTCTCCTGTTTTCCTCACTGAGGCTCACCAGCTTTTGGGGGACTCCCCTGCCCCTCCTGCCCTGTCAAGGATTGGCTGCTCGCACATGTCTCATGAGGTATTTCAGTAATGAGTCCCTCAGACTCTGTGGCTGTTGTTTCCCTCACCACAGTTGTATTTCTCACTCTCATTTCCTTGTCCTGTTGAGGCATGCTCATGAACCAGGCTGTCTCTTCTAGACCCCTTCTCTCTGTGACACGTGCACTCGGTTGTCTGTCATGTCCTGCTGCCTTATCTTTGTCCATTGGTCTCCAGTAATCCAGAAGTCTCTCACCCCATTGGCTCAGACTCTCCTCCACCTTCTATACTGATGGGAGGTCTTTCATAAGATGAAATGAGATGGATGGATGGTTTTCCCACTGCTTGGGGTCAGGGTTTTGAACTAGCCACATCATCTACAGATTTGTTTGCTCAGATTGAGGTTGTATTTATTTTAGAGATTACTTCATCTCTAACATCTAGAAACGTGAATTTCCAGTATCTCTTCGGGGGTGAGGGGGGGCCCCACAAGATTTAGCTATATGAAAGGCCAGTTTTTAAAGGCAGCATAGGCCACAGTCCCCTTCAGATGAGCTGGGTACCGGCCACTCATTTTCACACCAGCGGGCTTGTTCTTATTTGCCACCTGTTGTGTTTACTGTGGCCCAGAGGCCCCTTGTGACGTTGTCCCTGCTCTCTCTCTCTCACCTAGTCACCCTCATGTTCCTGTTTTCCCTGTGCTTCAAGTGGGAGCTGCCGGTCCCCCTTGTTTCTGAAAGGAAAGGTGTGTGCTGTTCCTGTGCTTAGAATGTTCTGCCCTCACACCAGCACCCCACCCCAGCTTCAGCTGCATCCCTCACCAAGTGTCTTGGTTGCCCAGGCACCATCAGATAACTCTGGTGGTCTGGTGAGGAGAGAGTGGCACAATGAACAGTTCGGGCATTTGGGTCTCCAGAATTTGACCATGTGTGGGAAGGTCACAGGTAGAGCTAGCAGAAGCCATTAAATTGGGCCAGAGTTACTTTAAGTGTTCATTGGCAGCATTCTTTCTTACCAGGAGACCATTGGCTCAGCAATAGCAGAGTCTCTTCACTGTGCTCACCAGTGAGCCTCTCAGGTCTCACGTGTGCTCGGCACAGTCAGTACTTGGCAGTGCACTGCTAGCTGTTGGGTTTGGAGCTGTGTTATCAAATTGGGGTTTCCAGCCATGTTGACCTTGTTAGCTTCCCTTAGCTGTCTAGTTGATGACATGTACCATACTCCAGCCATGCCACCCTCGGCCTTCTAGAGCAAGCCTGCCCTGCCCCTGGGCAGGGTCTGCTTCCTTGCCCTTCTCCCTTCCACCTCCCTGCTGGCCTCAGAGGGTTCTGGGACTGCTGTGTGCACTCATTGCTGACCACACAGATGCCTTTCAGAAGCTCTGGAGTTAGAGCCCCTGATGTGACTGTTCCTTTTCTGGCTTTTCCCTGTGAGCTCTTTGAAGGTAGATTCTTTTATTATTTATCGTGGTGTCCTGGCTCCTTACACTCTGCCCGGCATCAGACACCAGAGTGGTAGTCACAGTCCACAGATGTGCAGTAGCAGGAATCTTGGGATCAGCAGCTGGGCAGTTCTTAATGCAGACGAGATCAGGCACATCCAGGTGGTATGGCAGTCAGTCCTTAACACAGGCTGTTGGCCTAATGGTAATGAAGGATGAAAATTGAACAAGATTGAATAAGCAGCAAGCTTGTTTCTCTGTTTGCAGTCTTTTACCCAGCTGGCATCTTGTAGTTTCTCTTATGAGCCTGCTTTGAGGGAAAAATGGCTTAGGTCTAAGTCTTTAAGGACAGACTGTATAGACGTCGAACGTGTTAGATCTCACATGGTACAAATACAACCTCTTTTTTTGTTGTTTACTTAGAGAAGTGAAATCATCTGGCAGGTACAGGAGCATGGAAAACTGTGGCTGAGCAGAACACTTGGGCTGCTAAGACCTCAAGGACAGATGTTAGTAAACAGTAGAACGGAACAGAGTGCAGTGGCTCTAGAGGGAAGGGACGGGAAGCCGTGCTTTCTGTAAATCTGGGAGAGGGCAGTCCTCCATCTCAGCTCAGTCACATGGAGCCAAGCTGTGAGTGTGGGCTGGGTCTCCCTGCAGCTGGGCCAGAGCGTGAACAGAGCAGCTCAGTCTTCAATGGTAGGCAAGGAGGCAGTGAGGTTTAGCTGGAGTGTGATGATACACAGTGTGTTAGCTGCTTTTTTTCACGGCAGTGACAGAGGACCTGGCAGAAAACAACTTAGGAAGGATTTGTTTTGTCATGGATTGAGAGGGTACACTTAGTTCCTCATGTTCAGAAAGGCATGGCAGGAGCATGAAACTGTGCACATCTTGACGAATCATGAAACAGATGGATGCTGGTCCTCAGCTGGCTTTCTTCTCATTTCCTTTTTGTTCAGGACACTAGCCTGGGGATGATGCATCCCATATTGTTCAAGGCAAGTCTTCCCCACTCAGGTAATCCTCTAGAAAAGAGCTCACAGACACACTCAGGTGTGCTTCAGTAATGTGTTGGGTACTAATTACCCCTGTCAAATTGACACTTGAAATTAAAAGTTAAACATCACACTCTGGACCCAGAGGCCCCAGCATGAAGCGTGATGGAGGACAGACGGGAGCATCAGACCCTCTGGAGTTACAGGTGGGGTCTGGGAACTCAAAACGTAGGTCTTCTGTGAGAGCAGCAAGAGCTTTTTAACCACTGAGCTGTTTTTCTCCAGCCCTCACAGTACTGTGCTTGAGCTGTCTTGAAGGGCCTTGCTAGAAAGTCTTTGGGTCTCCTGAGGACATTATTGTTCATAGCACATCCAGTGGTGGGAAGATCTCATGTTTCAGTAGTGGAGTCAAAAAATCAGACCCCTGCTTCTTTGCCCACATGGCGTTCTCAGCCCTGAGGCTTACTGGTGTGGCTCACAAGGTAGTCCTTCTTTTACAGGTACCTATGGAGCCTTGCTCTGCACACATTGTTTTGAGAATTAAGTGTTGGGGCTGGAGAGAGAGATGGCTCAGCAGTTAAGAGCATTGTCTGCACTTCCAGAGGTCCTGAGTTCAATTCCCAGCACTTAAATGGCTCACACCACCTAAAACTAGTCTCCTGGTATCCAGTGCCCTCTTTTGATGTGCAGATGTACATGCAGACAAAAGATCTATATACATAAAATAAGTAAATCTTCAAAAGGAAAATTAAGAGTGCCACATCCTTCCCAGGTGTTTTACTTCTCTATTAGGAGAAGCACCGTGAGCTTTTGGGGAGAAAGGATTTATTTGGCTTACACTTCCCAATCACAGTCTAGTATTGATGGAAAACAAGGCAGGAACCTGGAGGCAGGAACTAAAGCAGAGACCATGGAGGAACACTGCATGCTGGCTTGCTCCTAGGGGGTGCTCAGTTTGCTTTATTTAAATATTATGTATATGAGTGTTTTGCCTTATGTGTATGTACTACATGTGTAGTTGGTGCCCACAGAGGTCAGAAGAAGGCATCAGATCCCCGGGAACTGGAGTTTCAGATGGTTGTGCGTCTGTATGGTTGCTGGAAACCAATCCTAGGTCTTTTGCAATTCAGTTTGCTTTTTTTCTTTTTTCTTTTATTCATTTTACATATCAACCACAGATCTCCCTTTCATCCCTCCTCCCACTCCCTCCCCTCCCCACCTTTCCACCCCCAGCCCTTCATCCCCTCCTACAAGAGGGTAAGTTCTCCCATGGGGGGACAGCTAAGCCTGGTACATTCAGTTGAGGCAGGACCAAGCCCCTCCCGCTTTATCAGGGGTGAGCAGGTTGTCTGACCGTAGGTAATGGGGTCCAGAAAGCCAGCTCGTTCATCCAGTTTGCTTTCTTATATAACCAGGACCACCTGGCCAGGGCTGCTCACAGCAGGCTGGGCCTTTCTACATCATCATTAATCAAGATGTACCACAGACATACCCACAGGCTAGTCTCATGAAGACAGTTCTTCAGTTGAGGTCTCTCTTTCCAGATGACTCTAGTTTGTGTCAAGTTGACCCCCTTTCAACTTGACACATAACCATAACACTATTAATTCATGATCTTTCCTTTCTTGTTTATCCCATGATCTCATGTTAATATCACAATATAATATATAGTCCAAATTTTAAAAGTCCTAATGTCCTTTAAAAATTCCAGTGATTCAACGCCTGAGGTAGGTGGAAGAGCTGGCCTTGCCCCTCATCAGCTGCAACACTCAGGAGAGTGGCCCCTACACCACAGTAGAGCTGCCCCTGAAGGTGTAGGTAGGGGAGAACCAACCCTGAGGATGTGAAAGCAGAGAACTAGCCCTGCCCCTTGCTCGTCACTGCAAGGGTGACCTAGCCAGGGCAGTGCTGGAGAGCTCACCCTGATGGTAAAGACAGGGCAGAGCTGGCTGGCTGGCCAGTCCTGCAACTACCCAGGCCCCAAACCAGGGTAACATGTTGACCCACCCCAACATCACTCCATCTGTGATCTACTGGAGCATGGGAGTGGGGTGGGGTCAGTCCTGTAGACCCAGGGCTGCAGAATCTCTACAACACAGGGGGGCAACAGGATGTCCTGGAGAAGTCCCAGGGAGGGCTCAGCTTTGATGATGTTGCAGAGACCAGGGTCCTTGAACCAGACCAATGGTACTTTGCGATGAACGCCTACATGTAAAAATGTATGGATAAAGGGGTTTACTGCGTGACTCACTGTCACTCTACAGCTTCTATGATGAGATTTTTTCCTTTCTTTTTTTATTTCCTTTTTTCTCTTACATTTCACTTTGTTTTATTCTGGTGGGGGGGATGGGTGGGATCAAGAGACATGATGTGAAAGACAAAGAATAAATAAAAAGAAAGTTTAAAAAAAAAAATCCAACCAGATGTGCACTCAGGAGGCAGAGCCAGGCTGATCTCTGTGAGTTTGAGGCCAGCCTGGTCTACAGAGCGAGATCCAAGACAGGCACCAAAACTACACAGAGAAACCCTGTCTCGAGGGGAAAAAAAAAAATTCTGGTGATTAGCAGTCCAAGTTCTCTTTTAAAAATTCAGAGTCGCTGGGCAGTGGTGGTGCATGCCTTTAATCCCAGCACTCAGGCAGAGGCAGGCGGATCTTTGAGTTTGAGGCCAGCCTGGTATACAAAGTGAGTTCCAGGAAAGGCACAAAGTTACACAGAGAAACCCTGTGGGGGGTGGGGGGGGGATGATCAGAGTCTCTTAACTGTGATTCTGTAAAATCCAAAGGAAGTTACATCCTTTCTTATTTCAAAAGAGAAGAACTAAGGCACAGTTACAAACATATCAAAGCAAAATCAAAATGTAACAGTGTACAAAGCTCAGTGTCTGCTGCTCATGATCTTCTGGGCTCCAAAGGCCTAGGGCAGTCCAGCTCTCCCTGCAGCACATGTGACTTCTAGATTCAGACCAGGCACACTCCACTCCTGCCACTGTCAATGGTGGTTGTCTCATAGTCCTTGCGTCTCCAGTGTGGTGGGGAATCTATCCATTGCATTAAGACTGCACCTTCACCAATGGTCTTCCTTTCAGAGATTCCAGCTGTGTCATGTAGTGACAACTTAAGACTGTGACCTCTGAGTCCTGGGCTTTCCAGTGCAGCTGAGGCTACAACTTCACCAGTGGCCTCTCTGGGCCTCTCTTTAAAGAGACTGACCCTGCCACACAGTGCAAAGCCTCAATGCTCTCCATGACCCCTTCATGCCTTCAAAACCAGTACGATGTTGGATACTTACACACTGAGGTTCAGCTTCCAGCTTGGGATGCAGCCTTGGACCCCTCTGGACCACTTCTGTGTGTTTGCTCTGAAGAAAACTCCCCAAAAGATTTTGCCTAAGTGATTTTTTTCTTTTACTTACAAATCACAGCTGACTTCTCAGCCCCAGTTAGCCAGCATCTGTTGTCCCAGTAAATCCAAGGTTTTACTTCCATGAATTCCTAATCCAAAATATTACATGAATGGTCCTGATAGTCTTTGCTCCCTCTGAAATTTCACAAGCCAGGCCTCTATTGTCTGAATTGCTGTTAGCATTGTCTTCCAGGTTCCCACAACAGCCCATTTAACTCAGAGTACTCAATGGCTTTTCTGCCCAAAGGTCCAAATCCTCCACCTTTCTCCCTCAAAAACAGTCTAGGACATAGAAGCCACATGGTCAGTTCCATCACCAACTTGTGTCCTAGTGTGCCTCTGTTACTGGGTTCACACCAGGTGAACGGCTCACAACCTGCCTGCAATGACAGTACTAAATAAAGGAGACAGTGTTACAGAGGCTGTTAGAGGAGTACTGAGTACTCTGAAGAATCTGGGCATGGTTGGGGTGGGGTTAGCATCTTCTGGAAGCCTAAGGAGTTGATAGCTGAACTGTGATGTTAAGGATGAAATCAGGAATTATCTAAAGGTCCATGAGAACCACAGCCAGGCAGTAACTTGGGGGCTGTGTCAAGAAGGAGGCCCTCGTGGATCTTCAGTCAGGGTGCTGTGGTGGTGAGGAATGTGGATGTATCTTGGCAGCTGATCTGTCCAGCTTACAGAAGTTCTGACTCTGAACTTGTGAAGCGGACCTGGGGTGCTGTGAATGTCTCAGAATAAGCAGAAACAACAAAAGACCCTGCTTTCTTGTGCTTTGGTTTCCTTACAGTTGCATTGATTCTGCATGTGGTTGTGACTTGCAGGTGGGGTAAGAAGCTCATTATTGTGGCCTCCCAGGACATGCGCTACCGGGCCTTAATAGGAATGGAGGGGGATCCTGACCTGAAGCTTCCTGATTTTTCCTACTGCATTTTGGAGCGCTTAGGCCGGTCCAGGTGGCAAGGAGAACTGCAGCGAGACCTTCACACCACCGCTTTCAAGTAAGAGCCAGCCTAGTGTCTCCACTTGAAATTATAAGGCCATTATATGCACCCCAAGTGCAAGGGCTTTTTATTCTAGGCCATTGCCTCTTGTGACTTTTCTTGTAAGCTAACAGGCTAGACAGTGTGTGTGTGTGTGGGGGGGGGTATTTATGTGCGAGTGAGAAACTACATTGTGAGGGTAAAGCTACCAGTAAAACAAACTGGATGACACTCTCTCTTCTGCAGGGTGGACGCTGGGAAGCTTCATTATCACAGGAAAATTCTCAACAAGAACGGGCTCATTACAATGCAGTCCCATGTGATCCGACTACCTACTGGAGCCCAGCAACACTCCATCCTCCTGCTTCTGAACCGCTTTCACGTGGACAGGTGCGGTTTGTAGAAAACAAAAGATCTGACTGCTTACGTGTTCTAACTAATTGCGTTGTACTTTTAAGATTCCTAAAGGCCAAAAGCTAAACTTTTCAGAGAGGTATTTTATTTTTGTTTCTGATGACAGTATGTCCTGCTTATTTAGAAAGCTTGGCAGAGGCTTTCTAAAGACAGAAAAGAAAGGGAAAATACAACCCAACAAGGAGTCAAGCCAAGCTGCCTATGGCTAGCTGAACTGGCAGAATGGCTCCTCCCTGCCCTCCTCCCACCCTTCTCACACATAGGCTGCAGAGCACCAGCTTCCTGTTACAGGGGAGGTGGGCAGTGGGTCAGTCGCACTCGGGGGGAAGGGGAGCCAGAAGGGGAAACAGGAGAGGCTTGATGGAGTGAAGGGAACAGCAGAGACACAAAGATGCTTCTAGTCTTGGGCCTGGATTTCGGAAAAGCCTTCCTCATGAAATAACCCCCACTCCTCTTCAAGACAGAACTTGAGACGCCCCCTTACCTTTAAAGTGTTATTCAACGCTAAGGAGTTTTGCAGAATCCTTGCATGATGTTTCTGCCCTGGGGTCTGGTTTCGAATTGTCATCTCTAAAGATCAGCTGGTCTGCAGTACTAGGCTCCAGCAGGTGACTTGCTGGTGTCTCTTACAGGAGGAGCAAGTATGACATCCTCATGGAGAAGCTGTCTATGATGCTGAGCACACGGAGCAACCAGATTGAGACTCTGGGAAAGCTGAGGGAGGAACTGGTAAGCCCATGAGGCGGGGCTGGGTAGGCAGCTGCAAGCTACACACCATCTGGGGAGCTTTGAAAGGTGCACTGAAGACTTGCCACCCCTCCCGGGGCTCAGCAAATGGCCTTTTCCTTTCTTTTTTATTTTTGCAGTGCTGGGAATCGAACATTAAAACTTGCTCAGCATTTTACCACTGAGCTATATCCCCAGCCCTGGTCTTTTCCTTTCTTTTGCACAGTGAGAAAATGCTGTTTTTATTTGAAATTCTTACTTCATTTCCTCTGGGGTTTGCTCTCAGACCCGCCATCAGAGTTCATGTGGGATGGTAAATTTTGACATTTAGATTTCCTTTCATCATGAAACTTGTAATTTTACTCCCAGTGGTTTTATGCTGAGGTAACAGGAAGAAAAAAGCAATTGCTGACCTGTTGTGTCTTAGGCTCAGGAGTAGCAGCTGTGGAGGGGTGAGTGTGAAAGGAGGCAGGCTCATGGTGGCGACGCTGCCTGGCTGCCAGGGGATGCTTCTGGGTGGAACGGTAGCCAAGAGCCAGTATTGGGCATGGAGAAGAGACTGCCTGGAGGTTAAAAACCACAGAGCTGGAAGCTGCCCGTCAGAATCTGGAGTTTTTGGTGCAGTCATTAGTCCCCGAAGGGATGGCTCAGTGGTGCTTATGATTACATACGTCAGGACAGTAGACAAGAGTCACCCTGTGCTGTTCTAGACTTTGATTTCATCGTTTCCAGGGAGTGGGCCTCTTTCCATCATGACATCCATTGCATCCCCATCTCCTCAGAGGGGCCTCAAAGTCGCCTGACTTCTTTGTTCTTTCACCTTGAGATTTCAGATAGAAATTTGAGTTTGAAAGCTTAGGCAAACCTTGCCCCATAGGTGCTCATGATGGTAGCCAGCTAGAGATGACCAGCCCTGCCAAGTTCCTCTACTTCCTGTTACCTCCCAGATACTGGGAGAATCAATGCCTTTGCCATCCCAGATGCCCTGCAGTTTGGGATCAGAATGTATTTCTCTGTATCAGTTAATCAAAAAATAGGAAATCAAAGGAAGGTTGAAAAAAAAAACCTTTCAGGAGATTTAAATGGAAGTGAGGAAAATTGCTACAGGCTGAGGAAAGCCAGTGGTTGTTCCTTTGTTCCTTTCTGTTCTCGGTCCCTGTGTATTCACTAGGGACTGGGACACTGCTGTATCCCTCCCTTGGGACAGGAAGCAGGCTAATCTTGCTCGGGTCAGCACTGTGGCCTCACTGGTTATCTCTGAGCACGTGGTTCAGTGAGTGTTTTTAGTCAGAGCTGGGTCAAACTCCAAAGTCACAGAAGTGGGTGAGGATGGCAGGTGGTCCTCTCACGGGGCCGTGTAGTTGGGAGAGCTCGTGATGAAAGCAGAGTGGGAGATGTGGGCCTAGGCAGCGTGCACAGCTTCACCGCAGTTTACAGTGGGCAGACTTCCCCAACAGAGACAGGGCTTTCAGAGGCCAGCAAGGATTAGATAGTGGTGGCTGAAGGTGAGGGAAGATGAGGGAGGTCTTGAGAGCCAGCCTGGCTTAGACTAGAGTCTAAGCTTCAACCTCAGGAAGCGCCTGTGTCAGTGGCCACATGGAGAAGCCCAGGAAGAAGGAAACAGTGGGAGCATGAGCCCCTGAGAGAAGGAGGGCACAGGCTGGATCCTGGCCAGAAGGCTGTCACTGGGCCTTGGATTTGGAATGTATTTTGAAAGTGGCACAGTGGTGAGTGGCCCAGCTAGGATGTAAGAGGCCTGGCATAAGGTCTGAGGATGCAACACGGGTGTTGATTTGAGTGGCCAATACGCAGGTGGACAGGAATGTGACAGTGGGCTGGTGGTGAGAAGGATTGGGCTGCTGTGTGTTCTGTGAGCCAAGGGCAGAGGAGGAAAGAGGAACCGTGTGGGTGAGGGGGCGGTACTCTGTGAACCTGAGCCTGAGATTTATGGAACACGAAGGCTTTCTGTGTTCTCTGGAGTGGTCTAGTCTGCAGCTGGCAGTAGAGTCCAAGGAGAGCCAACTAAATTAGCCTGTAGCTAAAGTGGGGACTGTCCTTGGCTGGGCTCCTGCTGATCTTTCTGCTGGGCGGAATGTGAAGGTCCCCTGAATGCAGGACCACATCATCTTCATTCTGGATGGTCCAGAGCTCAGCACCATTATTCCTGGGCTAGGGTTTGATGGATGAGTTTCCAAAGGCTCTTTCCCACTGGCAGGCTCAGCTAGATTAATGACAGGCACCACGTACAAGCCAGCATGTTTGAAGGAGCCAGATGGGATTCATCTGGATTTCTTGGCTAACCATATGTTCTGTAGCCCAGCGGTGAAAGTGCTGGTTCCTTTGAGTGGGCTGCAGATGTGTGAGACCCATAGGCATATGCTGTCTCTGCCCCAGTGTGTGCAGCAGTCCTTAAGATTCAGAGCAGCACTGAGTCATGAGCACCTTATCTTAGCCAGTTCATACCCTGTTTGCCCAGGGATTATACATCCAAGTGGCAACAAGGGTCAGGAGTTGATTGGCTGGGGGGCAGGACATTTTATACAGTATGGATTTTTTAAAACTTTGTTGTCAGCAGCCATCAGAGAAAAGTGGCACCCATGTGACAGACAGCAGCTGCCCTCCAGCTGTGCTGTGCAAGGGTCTGCCAAGGAGTGTAGACCTACAGCCCTTTGGGGACCACATGCCCTGCTGTCTACAGAGGTTTTTGGTCACCTCTCCCTGGCTGATGCCTGAGAGGCTGTGTCAAATGGTACCTTGCTGGAGTTGGTTCTCTCATTTACTATGTGGGGCCTGGGGGTGGAACTCAGGTTGTTGGGCTTGGTAGCAAGTACCTTTAATCACTGAACCATCTCTTTTTTTGGCTCCTGAGATAAGTTTAAAATTGTTTTCTTTTTCGCTCCACTGCCTTGGGAGGACTATCTGTGTTTGTTAATAATCCATGCACACACTTGAATTAAAAAAATACAGTATGGAAAGTGTCTGGTGGAAATCCTCCTCTTATCTCTGTTTCCACCTGTCTCACCCCACCCTGTCTACCCTTCCAGGGTCTCCGTGTACATCTCTTTCCCCTCTTGTCTCCACAGCAGTTACTCTGTGCTCCAAACCTTGTTCACCTCCCTGAATGCAGTGTGGCAGTCTCATTAGTTCCTGCAGCATTTCTTCATACACTGTCAGTGCTAATTCCCATCCTGAACACTGCTGTGTTTCCTCCACGCTGGGATTCCCAGGGTCTCGCTTAGGAGTACCGTGGGTTTGTGTTTTGCAGGGGCTGTGTGAAAGGACATTCAAGCGTCTGTACCAGTACATGTTGAATGCTGGGCTGGCCAAGGTGGTGTCCCTTCCCTTGCAGGAGATTCACCCTGAGTGTGGTCCCTGTAAGACCAAGAAAGGTAAGAACAGCGCCTGTGTCCGGCTGTATTTCCCTGCTGTCATCTTCGGGGACACTGCCTAGGAGTGTGAAAGTCACACTCTATTCAGTTCTTTATTGCTGAGTGCCTTTCATCTAAAGGACCTGACAAGTGCTCACTGAACTCCAGCAGCCCTGCGCAGACTCCTGGGAGGCTGCCTCCCCGCCTTCCCTCCTACACCAAGCCCTTCTTCATTCTTTCGTTCATTCGTTCCGTTCCTTTTTTTGTTGGGTACTGAACCTCTGAACCTAGAGTGTTGTACATGCTGGGGAAAAGGCTCTATCACTGAGCTGTTTCCCCAGTCCTGTTTTGAAGTACAGTCATGAAGATGTGTTCCAGGTGTGAACAGCACAGCATGGACTCACACATAGATGACGAGGGTCAGCCACTTGGTGTGGCCTCTAGGTGTCATCAGACAGTCAGGACAAGGTGTTCAAGGTTGGCTGGTTATGCAGGCATACTGCTTACTTGAAATAAACATTTTCTTCAAGTAGAAAGAATGTGTTCTAAAATTACAGTAGTTCTATGTAAACCAGTAACGTGGTCATTGATTATCAAGCAGTATGTACTGTGTCACTGTGCTGTGCTTTTGCCGCAAATGCCGGAGAAACCATTACACTGTCTCAGCAAAAGGTTACTAAGGACAGAGATTTAACTGTGATACCACTGCTGTGTGTGCAGCACACATGACTGCCTGCTTCACACTGCACATCCTCTTGTGTCCCTACAAGGTGGGTCTTAGCATCAGCATCTTACATGTAAGAATGCTCAAAGGTGCTAAGTGGGGTTGGGAGATGACTCAGTAGGTAAAGTGTTTGCCGAACAAACATAAGAATCTGAGTTCATGGGAGCTGCTGGAAAGATGGCTCAGCGGTTAAGAGCACTGGCTCCTCTTCCAGAGGACTTGGGTTCAATTCCCAGCACCCACATGGCAGCTCACAGCTATCTGTAACTCCAGTTCCAGGGAATCGGACACCCCTCACACAGACATACATGTAAGCAAAACACCAATGCACATAAAAATAAATAATCATAAAAAAAAAAATCTGAGTTCAGGTCCTCCAGAACCCAGGTAAAAGCTGAGTTTGCTGTAATCCAAGTATGAGGGGTGTGAGGTGAAGATAAGTGGATCCATGAGGCTTGCTGACTGGCTAGCCTAACTGGAGAGCTCTAGGTTCAGTGAGAGACACAGTTTCAAAGAATTAAGGTAGAGAACAACCGACTTAGACCCGATACAGACTTCTGACCTCTATGCACGCATACCCACACATAAATTGACACCTCCCCCACGTACACAAAAGTTAAGCAGTCAATATTTGACAGTGGTAGACTGTAAAGAAGCTTAAGCTAGAGGCTGGAGAGATGGCTCAGTGGTTAGGAGCACTGGCTGCTCTTTCAGAGGACCCGGGTTCAATTCCCAGCACCCCAACTGGGGCTTTCACCATGTACGTACGTAACTTCAGATCAGGGGAATCTGATGGCTTCTGGCCTCTGAGAGCACCCATACTATGCACACATACACGTGTATGCAAAAGAGTCATGCACATAAAAGTTCATAAAAAGAAACTTTCACAAGCACAAGTAGGCAGGGGTTCTCAGCAACACTTGGTGCTCAAAACTGCTGGAGATGTAGTAATAAGCAGAGCAGACTGGGAAAGCCAAATACCCATGATGGATGGCAGCTAGGAGCTGACACCTCTGAACTGGAAATCAAAGATTCCAGGTGCCTTTGAAAGGACAGCATGGATGGGGCTGAGACTGGGCGGGCTGACAGTCTACGTGAGGAGCATCACACCTCACTTCCCTCTGTGTCTCATATGTCAGGAGCCTGGAGGACTTCTAGATGCATGGGCATGAGAACAGGCCTGGGACAAGGTGGAGTGCTGGCAATGGAGAATGTAGTTAACAAGAGATGTGATTCCTAACAGTTGCTAGTTCGTCTCATTTGGTAACATTCTTCCATAGTTTTCTAGACTTGCACCACTTCCACAGTGACATGCTGCAGGTGAGAACTAGGGAAAGAATGTGGGTCGGGAATGCTTATCTCTGCTGGTTTAGGCAGGCTTCAGGGTCTCCAGCCATAGCCTCTGAAAACAGCAGAGGGACTGGAGATAGGACATGGGGCTTGTATGTGCTAGGTTAGCCCTGTACCACTGAGCTGCGCTCCAGCCCTCCAGTACCGATTCTAAAAGGGAACATGAGCTCTTAGGACTATCCAGCCTCTAGAACACTGACAGACAGACTTAGAACCTAGGCCCAGGACTAGAGGCTTCTGTTCTGAAGAAAGTGACCAGTTCAAGAGCAAAGTCCTCTGCGTACTGAATGCTGGAGTTTTCTAGCTAAGGAAAACAGCTCGTCACGTTTCCAACACATCTGACAGCTCACCCTTCACTGGAGTCCAGATGATCTAGCTTTTCCCTTCCCTCCTCCTTCGGAAACTCTGGTCTCCAGGCAGCATCCTAAAGCAAGCACATTGTTGAGGGAAACGAAGCCTAATAGAATTCAGGGAAACAGAAACCTTGAAAAGTACAATAAAATTTAATCCTCAGAAAGAAACAGGTGCTGTGTTCATGGAAGCAGAACAAGGAGCTGTGAAGATGGGGGAATGGAAGGGAAGGGTTGTTGGCAGCTAAGTGCAATGAGAGAGTGTAAGAGAAAGGTGCCGAGAAAGATCTTAAAGAAAACAGAATGCCGAGTTGAAACTAAAAGCGGGGCAGGAGGGGCCAAGAGTCCCATGTCTCCTGAAAGTGGGTACTGCTGTGCTGCTGGTACCCACTCTCCTCCTAGTAGACCCCACCTCTTAACTGTTCCATCACTCTGTAGCAGCACAGATTGCCAGCCAGGCCCTTAACAATGGGCCTTTGAGGACATTTTTCCAAACCATAGCACGGAGAACAGAAGGACACAGAGACATGCAGAGGATTGGGCTGTGGGAAAGTCAAAAATGGAACCTTTTGAGATCTGAAGGAACTGTCATGTTTCTAGCATAGTGAACATAAACACTGTAAGACTTCTCCAGGAAACCCTACATTTCCCAGTGGACTAAAGCAAGGACAGCATTGGATCAGAGCTGTCAGAATTCTGTAGGAAGGGGCTAGCAGTATGGATCTGTGGGTAGAAGCACTTACCTTGCATCCCTGATGTATTACTTACTTTTCTGCCACTGTGATAAATAAAACACCATGATCAAGGCAACTTATAGAAGGAAGAGTTTATTTGGCTTATGGTTCCAGAGGGTTAGAGTCTGGGATGGCCAGGAGGATGGCAGCAATAGCAGGTACAGTGGCAGGAATAGGGAGCTGAGTGCTCACAGCTCAACCACAAGCATGAAGCAGAGGGCATGCTCTCTCTCTCAAAGCCTACCCCCAAGGACATACTTCTCCAGCAAGGCTGCATGGCTGAAACCTTCCTTCCAACAGCACTCCCAGCTGGGAACCAGTACTCAAATGGCTGAGACTGTGGGGGACATTTCTCATTAAAACCACTACACCTGATAATCTGAGGTTGATCCCAAAACTCTGATTAAAAAAAACCAGGTGTGGTGGCTGGCATCTGTAATCCTAGGCCCAACACTCCCACAGTAAAATGGAAGGCAGACAGAATTGGCTTGAAGCTCACACAGGGCAGCCCAGCACAAAGTGCAGCCTCAGAAATAACCACAGACTTTGCCTCAAAAACAAGGAAGAACTGACCTCCAAAAGCTTGTCCTCTGACCTCCACCACATGGACTCCATTGCACACCATGCCTGCACCCCTCCCCCCCACACACACTAAATGGCTTTCTAATATTCCGAAGGAATTGGCCATTTAGCCTAGAGTCCTTTCTTTAGTTTTGCCATGAGTGAGGACTGAGGAGGGGACTAGTTCCACACGTCCACATTCTACATGTCCTGGGAACTAGAAAGTAACAGTAAACCAAGATGCAGGAAACATGGGGACTAGGAAGCCAGGACTCGTGAAGGGGAGCCCTGATGAGATCTGGCAAGTGTAGGCCAGGTGGACAGAGGTACGTTTCAGCATTCTGGGATGTTGGAAGAAGAATGTTAAATAATTTGATGTTTTCTTCAGTGAAGAACCATGAAGGAAGACTTTGTGTTGCCATGCAGGCCACTGTGGCAAGAGCTTTCTTCCAGGCAGAGGTTCCGGCAAATTCAAAGTAACCACTTGACACTAACAGCTATCCAAATGGGCTTTTGTTTTTCAAGACAGGGCTGTCCTGGAACTGGCTCTGTAGACCAGGCTGGCCTAGAATTCACAGTGCCTCTGCCTCCCAGTGCTAGGATTAAAGGCACGTGTTAACATACCTGGCCAAATGTGCTTTTGAAGTCAGGCAGTCATGCTTATCATTTTCCCTTGACTTCTCTGTCCCAGCTTCCCTCAGCTGGATTACAAGAGTAATAGCACCTACCTCTAAGGTGCCACGGTGCTCACAGGGATTGCTGGGCTCTGAGTAGGGCCACAGCTTCGTGGCAGGTAGGATAGATCTAGGGGAGTTTTTTTGTTTGAGACTGTTTTACTCTTGCCCCTGGTGGTCTAGAACTCATCCAGATCTTCTACTGCTTCCTGTTTGTGGTGTGTATCATCAAGCCTGGCTAGAGGTATGTTTTGTTTAGCCTGCAGCATTTGTTTTCATTGAGTTGGTTTCTGGAATTTAAAACATGGATTTTTTTTTTTTTTTTTTTTTTTTAAACCTGGGAAGTCTGACTTCAGCTTATGTGCAAAGGGAAAGCAAATAGTAGTACATTTCCTTCATAGTGATTGACAGGCAAATGGGCCCACCTCCCTACTCACCAGTGATACCTGCCTGCTGCTACATAGCACAATCAATCTGTATGTATGGTCTGTCATCACCTTCAGATGTGTCTGTCTACAGGGTATCACCTTAAGCCTGTCCTGGGAGGACAGGACTTCCCAGAGTGGTCAGTGTGACTCAGAATACAGTTAATGATAAGAGTTGACACCCAGGCTGATCAGTCAGGACA